CCGAAGCCCACCCCAACCCCCTACCCTCCACCTGCCTGCCTGCCTGCCTCGGTTTCAGTGCTGCTGGCTAATCTCAAAGTTGTCCTGGAGTTCATCTTGCTTGGATCCACAATCAACGCTCATGGAAGCAGCACTGGAGACCAATTGGCACATCGTATTAGGTAAATCTGCTGCACAAGACCTCTTTAAAGTGCTGACAAGCAAGGAAGGGGGAATAAGGTGCACCTGACCCAAGCCATGGCATTTTCTTTTTTTTTTTATTGCCATGACATTTTCAGTTGCCTCATATGCATGTGAAAGTTGGGCACTGAATAAGGGAGACAGAGGAGAATTCGACGCATTCGAACTATGGTGTTAGTGACGAACATTGAAAAGTACCAGGGGCTGCCAAAAGAACACAGATCTGTCTTGGGACCACAGCCAGACAGCTCCTTAGAAGCAAGGATGGAGACTTCATCACCCACACACACATTGGACATGTCATCAGGAGAGAGCCGTCCCTGGAGTAGGGCAGCATGCTGGCTAAGGCGGAGGAGCAGAGAAAAGAGGGAGTCCCTGAACAAGATGGATTGGCACAGTGTCTGCGTGCGACAAAGGGCTCAAAAGTAAGAACAATTGTGAGGATGGCCCAGGACTGGGTGGCATTTCTCACAGTTGAGCATACGGTCGGTCACTAGTAGTTAGAATTAACTCAATGGTACCGAACAAACTTGCTTCTGTCATCATCACCTAACCGCCCCATCCCCGACCATCACCTTCTACCACCACCACCTTCATGCTCAATAATAGCTTCCTATGCTCACTGTCCCCCAGATAGTCTATGGCCCAGCCATCCAGGGTGCTGAACCCTTCTTCAGGCAGGCAGCTGAAAAGCCACTGACCACTAGGACTTCTGGGTCCTTGTCCTGGACAGCTCTTCGAATCCACCTACTTCAGGCAAGAGGAGGCTAAGGCCATATGCCCTGCTCCCCACCAGCCAGCAAGAGGGAGCCTTGTTACAAGGGCATTTGGTCGTTTGGTTCTGGTACTCCGAAATGGCAAGGGGTTCAGACCACACCGGGACGAATCTCTAATACATTCTGAATCTCCATCCACATAAGCTGCCTCCTGGAAGCGGGTAGTTAAGCCGTTTGGGATGGAGCCCTGGTGGTGTAGCGGTTTGCACATTACACCAGGTCAGCAGTTAGAAACCACTAGTTTTAAGAGAAAAGATGAGGCTTCCGACGTCTGTGGAGTTGGTCTCAAAAACCCACAGGGGCGGTTCTACCCTGTCCCATGAGCTCGCTATGAATTGGCATCGTGTCAGCCTGAGTTTGGTGTTTTGTTGTTTACTATAAAGGGGTTTCTGAAAGGTTAACAGCTTCAAGTCATTTTATCTGATGCACTGACAGCAGAGAGTATGTGGGACTGGCCACCACTAAGGAATAATGGAATAAATGCCAAGTGACTGCACCCTGTGAATAATAGCTGAAACACAGCTCTTTGAAGTGCATTAAAGTGACACAAAAAAAAAAATCAAAATTCCCACTGGTACAGGTCTTATACCAAACTGATGGCTACTATCAGTGGGCAGAGTCCCAGGTAGGGTGGGAAGAAATGGAGATCTCTAGAAAGCCCTAGCTTTGAAACTCCAGGGGAGGCGTGAGGGTATTGAAGAGTTGGTTAGCCCACTGTTTCTCCAACCAGACACTCAGATTTTCAAGGATACAAGGGCCAAAACAAACATTCTCTTGAAGTTATTTGTATTTATAGAAGGTGGCAGGGGTGACATGGGGCATGGGGGTAATGGGGCAGCCTCTGAAAGGACTCTCAGCTGCGCGCAGTGTCTGTCATTCCAACAAATCACAGCAACTAATCTTTTCTTTTTAAATCATTTTAAACAGCTTTTATATATAACATTCCATTCATCAATTGTATCAAGTATGTTTGTACATACGTTGCCATCATTTCCAAAACATTTTCTACTCGAGCCCTTGATATAAGCTCCTCTTTTTCACCTCCCTCCGCCACCCTCGTGAATCCTTGATCAATTAAATATTGTTATTATTTCGTATCTTACACTGTCCATTGTCTCCCTTCACCCACATTTGTGTTATTTGTCCCCTTTGGAAGGGGGTTATATATCCAACCTTGTGATGGGTTCCCCTTTCCCCCTCCCTGACTATCCCCCTACCCTCATGATATCCCAGCCATCTAAGCAAATAAGCTTACATGGAAGAAGCATATCAGCCTGTGTGATCATGAGGTGTCTATGGGATCAGGTATCAAAAGATCCAAAACAAAAACAAACAACTATATCGATGCAAACGAGGGGGGTTGGAGTGGAGACCCAAAGCCCATCTGTAGACAATCGGATATCCCCCCACAGAAGGGTTATAAGGAAGGGATGATTCAACCAAGGTGTTGTATCACACCGACCAATCACACATCAATCCTCTGATTCCTGAATGCTCCCCAGCCCACAATCACCACCACGACCCAGTTCTACCTCACAAATCTGGCTAGACCAGAGAGCACACAATGGTACAGATAAGAGCTCTGGACACATGGGATTCAGAACAGATAAACCCTTTAGGAACGGTAGTGGGAGTAGCAACTAATCTTTTCAGAGGTTTGCATGCCAGAGATGGTGCTGAGAACATTACCTGGATTCTCCCACTGAATCCTCATAACAACCCCCTGAGTGGATGTTATTATCTGCATTGCTCAAGGTAAGGAAATAGGCTTAGAGAGCTGAAGTGCCTTGCCCAAGACTGCATAGCTGGTAAGAAGCATCAGGATCTGCATCTAAGTCACCTGACTCCACAGCCTATGCTCTGAATCACCCATATCTTGAGGTCCTGCAGAACCTTGGGGAAGCTCAGTGGAGATCAGAGGATACATTCCTAAGAGCTCAGTCCGTCCTGTAGAGGAAGAGGAGCACATCTGAGACATAGGGTGGCGCCTTTCCCACTAGGAGGTTGGCAGGAGACGCTCCTCTCTGAGAGGGAGGGCAGAACTGCCCCCCACTCCAGGCATGGGTTTGCATCTGCTGTAGGTATTGGGGTGACGAGCAGTGTTACTTCCCTGTGGGGTACCTGCAGAAGACACCCCTCCCTATCTAAGAGGGACAACCCTGACTCCAGGATGCATCAAGGAGCCCCCGCCCCCACTCCAGGTGCCTGTTCCCTCTCCTGGAGCGGCTGGCTGTCGCACCCCACTTCAGCGCCTTGGTTTGGCTGGGGCACAGGATTAGCCATCCCCAGGAAATGCCTCCCTCCGGTCCAGGCAGGGATCCCAGCACACACACCCCTGGAGTTTAAGGGGGGGGGTCGGGGAAGGAGGGTAGTGGAATGCTTCCTCCTCTCCAGCCAGGGAAGAGATCTGGGGACCACCTGGGGGCCCTCACCCCTCCCCACGCCTTGCTGGGGAAGTGCCCGGCCCAGAGCCCCTTCCATGGCCACCACCCTCCTGCTAGCTATGCTGGGGCATGAATCAGCGCTCACAGCTTGTTAAAGCGAGACCTCTTGTTTTCGTGCCCTCACCTCAGGAAACAGAGTTACAGCGTTTCCAGCTCTGCTCAGCAGGGGGCCAGGGTCCTCACCCTATAAACATCACCAGGCCGGGGAGAGCAGAGGGCACTGAGAAGGTGTGAGACAGGAGCCCGGGACAGGAAGAGAGAAGCTCAAAGAGAGAAACCAAGACAAGCCCCGGAGACAGAGGCCCGAAGGTTCCAGAGCGCCCGTGCTGCGGGAATGGCCCTGAGGATGCTCTGGGCAAGACAGGCCCAGGGGCCCCTGGGAGGCCAGGGGGTCCTCTGCTTGCTGATCTCACTGCTCCTCCAGCACCCAGGAGTCCACAGCAAGTGCTACTTCCAGGCGCAAGGTAACCCTAGGGGGTCGAGGCGGCAAGAAAGGACAAAGGCGCGGGGTGCGTATGTGTGTGTGTGCTTGTGTGTGATGGTGCGGTGCTGGCATGTCCTCGCTAAATCAGAAAAGGAAAACTCAACAGGAGTGTGCCCCCAATGCTCTTCCACCTCAGACCTAAAGGGTTTCTGTCTGCCCCCCACACCCTGCCACACTAACATGTCCCCTTCTTCCCTAGCCCCCTGCCAGTATGAGGGGAAATATTTTACCCTGGGCGAATCCTGGCTCGGCAAGGACTGTTTCCACTGCACCTGTCTGCACCCGGTCGGCGTGGGCTGCTGTGACATGTGAGTGGCATGAGTGACCGAGGGCTGGCAGGGAGGAACTAGATGGCAGAAGAGTAGCATGAGGTGAGCCACACCTGGAGGTACCAGCAAGAGTGCGGATTTGGGTGACAAAGTGAGGGAGGTAAGGGTGTGTCTTCCAGGTAAACAATCCTGTGATATCATCATGAGTCCATAAAGGGAAAGTTAGAGCTGAGTGAGGGGTGGGGGACAGCAAAGAAGTAGTGAAGGAAGATGTCAGGGGAATGCTGGGAGCGTGATGTGGGGCAGGGCAAGAGGGCCCTCCACTCTGTTGACTCCCTGCCCCCTCCTTTGGTTCCATAGATCCCAGCACCCCATCGACTTCCCTGCTGGATGTGAGGTGCGTCAAGAGGCAGGAACCTGCCAATTCTCCCTGGTGCAAAAGGCGGACCCTCGGCTGCCCTGCAAAGGGGGCGGGCCCAACCCAGAGTGGGGCTCGGCTAACAATCCTGATCCCGGGGCTCCTGCCCTTCCCCGCTCCAGCTAGACTCCACAGAGCCCCCTTCTGCTGACGCCCCACTGCTACTGCTGCCACTTCCAGAGAGACCACTAGCAGCTGCCAGTTGTTCCTGACTCAATAAACAAATACTACAGCTGAAAGTCTGCCTCTGATTGTCCATGCCCCTGGGCCCCCAGTGGGAAAGGCGGGCCCTGCTAAGAGTCCAGAGGCTCGGGGCTCAGAATCTTGAAGATCATTGGGCAGCTGGGCCCATGTCAGATGGTTATGGTGCTGGTGCTGGGGCCGGGGGCAGCATAGGAAGCCAGGGTGGGACTGGTGGGTAGCACCTTGATGGGGAGGTCCCAGCTGAAGGTGTCCACGGGTACTTGCTCAGGCCCCGTCCAGGTGGCAGGCTCAGACTGTTCCATGGGGGGTAGGAGCACCAAACCTGGTTCTCGGGATGTGACAAATTCAAAATGCAATCGCCACTTCAGGGACACTGGAGGTCGGGGGGAGAGTTGGGGGAGAGACATCAGTAAAGGCATTAGAAGACAGCAGGAGTAATAGCCCACGACAGGATGTAGCCGTATGCAATGACTGAGAAACTGTTCTCAGGAAGGGAGCAGGGAGCTGGGATCAAGGGTTTTTCCTGAGGACTCTTGTATATTAGCCAGAGAAGCGAGACAAGGCACGCAGGGTCAACCCCAGAGAGGGACTGTCATGACTAGGCAGCCAAAGGGCTGGGAGTCACCAGATCAGTGCATCACAAGGTTCCCAACAGGGAGGGGTGAGCAAGGAGATGGGCTTAGGGGGTCGGTATGTCGAGGTAACAGCAGAAGTTGAAGTAAGGTTTCAGAAAGAGGCCAGGTGTAGGTATGTCCAGAGCACGTTCAGGCTCCGGAGACATTGCATTCTAAGCATGCACAGCCTGTGCCGCCTTCCCTCACCCCCACAATCATCAGGGTCTCACCAATAGCTGTGTAGAAGCCTGGGGTAGAGCTGAGAGGGATGGGGAGGGAGAAGCTGGTTCTGGTGGTATGCAGGCAGGACTCCTGGTGCCGGGCATGAGTCACATGGGACACAGAAGGGGCACCTCCCGCCCCGCGCCGTCGTTGGTACTCAGGCTGTACCCGCTCCTCGGTCTGTAAACTTACTGAAAACTGGGAGCAAGGTTGCAGGCATTTAGAAGTGCTACCTGTAGCGAGAGGGCAGCCCAACCTCAAGCCACTTAACCCATGAAAGGGTCACTTCTACATCTACCCCCTCTTCATGCAGGTTCTTCTTCTAGGACCTCCATCCTAGCCCTCCAGACCTGGTGCCCCAGCAGCCCCTTGCCACTCTCACCTGCAAACAAGCTACGGTGCCTTCCCCTAAGTCCAACGTCCCCACCACATCCTCGCCAAGTCTGTAGACAGATTTGAAGATGCCAAAGGTCCCAACTTTGCCTCGGCCATCACTGATGTTGTACAGATCTGGGCAGAATGAGAAGCTGTAAGCCTGGAATCCACACTGGCAAATGGCCGAGACTGAAAACTGGGGCTGAAGGTGGGGTGTTTCTTTCTCATGCAATGTGAGAGGTCAGTGAGCACTCGCTGATGAATGCAGGGGTTAGGAGACTGTGTCCCTGAGACAGAAAGGCCATGGGGAGGGGGGAGAGGGAGGGGGGAGGGCCACTTGGAAAGGATGCTCACGGAGGCTGCGGCAGGATGTGGCGGCCATGAGGCGCTCCCCAGCCAACTCGGCAAGCCACGAATCCTTCTTCCCACCTTCATCCTCCTCCAGGAATGGACTGGATGGGGCCACAGCCTCATCCTGGGGAAACCGGAGATCCTGAAGGCCTAGGGAGAGAATGAGGGGAGAGGGCCAGAAGCCAGAATGGAGGTTCGGATTTTAGATTACAACCCAAGAGGGGTGAGAGTATGGAGGGCACCTCCCCAGTACCTTCATGAAGACCAGAAAACACCTCTTGATCCGCTCACAAGCCGCCTAGGATCATTTCTGCTTCCGTGAGCCTCCCCTAACCCTTCCCTCGGGGACTCCTTACTTACCAGTCAGCACAAGTACCCTCAGAGGGACCCTGAGTAAAGTGATGGGGGAGTTGACACGCTGGCAGCCAATGGTCAGTTTGTAGACGTACTTGACTGACTGGCCCCGAAAGGAGGGTGGTCCCTCTATGGGCAGGACTTCACTGTAGGAGTCTGGTTGGGAAGCAGGTAGTCAGGGCAGGCAGGGGAGTTCTCCCTCCAGGAGACTTAGAAGTCAGTAGGGGTGTGGTGGGAGGTGGGGGGTGGGGTGGGGGGGACAACCACTCACATGATTTGGACTCTCCAGGCTCTAGCCGCAAATCACAGAAGAGGATTTTCGGTGGAGTGGAAAGAATACATTGACCCCTCTCTCCTAAAAGAGACACTCACTCAAAAACCCAAACTCATAGGAGCAGAACTGCCCCTGGGGATTTCCAGATGGCAACTCTTTGCAGGAACTGGTGGTTCCGAACTGCTGACCTTGCTATCAGCAGCCCAATACGTAATGCCCCCAGGACCCCTTAAAAGAGATAAAGGAAGATGGAAATGCAATGACTCTGTCTTCCAGAACTGGGCCAGGCAAGTGGGCTTTGAAGGCTGCAAACAAAGGACAGCCCGAGCAAGGCGACCCTTCTTTTCCTGGTGTGAGCGATCTTAGACCCCTAAAGGAGCCACTTCATTGCCCCCCCATACCCACTGGGACAGGAACCATAATGGCCCACAGGAACCATATGACCAGTCCACTAGAGGCTGAAGCGCCGCCTCTCCACCCCCAAAGGCAACATCTCTAACCTCGGTGTGGGAGGAAGACCGTCTGGCTCTCGGGCTGGACCTCTGGTTGGTTCGAGTCCGGGGGTGGCAGTGCCACGCGGCTCTCACTGGCATGGAACTGACAGTGGATCTGTGCACTGGCCCAGGCCAGAGCCTCACTATGGAGAGAGGAAAAGGGGCGCGGGAGGGGTGGTCTTTGACTTCACAAGTGCTCTCCCAACCCCCTCCCACACTTTTGGGGGACACCTAGATGAGCAGACAGTGCTAGCGATCAGAGAGCGTAGAACCCGAGGAGAAACCACTCAACAGAGAGAAGTATGCAACTGTATGTGAATGGCATGGGCCTGGGGGAAGGAGGGCTCTGCCGTTGGTCCATCAGTCCGTACATCCCAATCAGCTCCACAGCCCTTTCCTACAAGTAAATCAGCAAGCAGGCGGGGGCCACGGGTGTAGCTACTGGACACCTGGAACCCCAGCCTGGCACGAGAGACCCCAGGCTCCCTCCCGGAAGGACCACCTTCTTCATTCAGTACCGGTATCCGCACCTGGATGCAGAAGTGGCCGTGGGGGGCAGGGGGTTGGTAACGGTCACCACACATTCCAGCGCCTCCCCCGCCAGAAACACAGGCCCCCGGCTCAGCTCTGCTACCACTTCGATCATGGCAGCTCCGCATCGGATCTAGAGAACCCGGGGGTCCCCGGTCGCAGGTCAGCACCGCTGGCCGCACGAGACCAGCGACTGCGGTCAGTAGCTGCTCGGTGAGACCAGAGGAGGCCGGTGGTCAGCACCGCGCTGCCGGTGGGGCGGGGGGCGAGCGGCTGGGCGCCTCCGGTGGCAGATGGGACTCACTCGGAGGGGAGAAGCGTCGCTCGAAGGCCCAGACCCCCGGCCCCGGCCAGTGGGGAGCTCCAGCCGGCCTCCGCCCCCTCCCTAAAGGCTCCCCGTCCCCGCCCCGGGCCATGGCGCCCGTCCGCTCGCGCCCCGACGCCAGGCACCTCGCACGGTCGAAACTGGGGGAGGGGGGAGGTGTCTCGGCCCGCGAAACCCTCACCTGCGCGCCCCTCCAGGGCCCGGCCAGGTGCGCGGCGAAGCCCCGGTGTAGACGACGCGTGAGGCGGGACTTCCCTTCGGCACCCCCACGGAGCCCCTTCCGGCCGGAAGCGCCCAGCTGGCCCGGCCGGAAGGGACTCGAGTGGTCTCGGCGCCTTGGGTCACCCTCCCCCGGGCCGGGGGCCGGGCTCGGGCTCGGCCGCAGAGCGCGGCGGGGGGGGCCCGGCGCCCAGCCCTGGGGGCGTCTGCTGGCTGCTCGGGGACCGGGCCGCCGCGGCCCCCGCTCTCCCCGGCCGGCCCCGGGGGCGGTGCCTTGCGGGCTGGCCCCGGGACTCCTCCCCTCTCCGTGCGCCCAGCCGCCCTTTGGCCGGGCGCTGGGATCACCGCGGCCCAATGACGACGAGGCCCGACCCTTCCCGCCCAGGATCCGGAGAGACAACCGAGGGACAGCCCGGGGCGACTTCATTGCTGCTGCTGCTGCCGCCGCCGCTGCAGCCACCTCGCCTCGGCTCTGCGGCGGCACCGGCTCACCTCCTCGCTTCCGAGCTCCCTGCCATCCGGGACGGCACCTGACTGCGACCGGCGTTGCTTTCTGGACTTGGCCAGCCAGATACTTTGTTCCAGAGAGCGCAGGACCCGGGGCCATCGAGGTCGTGGGGACCCAGGATACAGGAAACAAATATGGAAACCGGCCTCCCGGCCTCGGGGCAGACCGGCTGCACCAAGGGGGAACCGCAGGTTGGCTGCCTGGAAGATACCGGGGGCGCTGAGGCTGCGCACCTTGCAGTTGGGGAGAACGCCGAAGACACTCGGCCCCAGGATGCGAACCATGGGCAGCTGATGGCTTCCTATGAGGGCAAAGCTAGAGGCTACCAGGTGCCCCCTTTTGGCTGGCGCATCTGCCTCGCTCATGAGTTTACAGAGAAGAGGAAACCCTTACAAGCCAACAACATCTCGCTAAGCTACAAGATAAAGCATGTGGGCATGGGCTTGAGGTGAGTGGACCCCAGTGCTCATAAGACCTTTGGCGTCACTTTGTACCAGCACAAGACTCCCAGTAGAGATGGCAAGGCCTTGGTGAGAAGACAGATGGGCCCCTGTCCAGGTCAAGGGACCCCCAGCCCCAGGATATTCTAGGCCCTGTGGTGTGGGGTGGTGAGACCAGATCACTTGTCTTTGCAGTGCCTTCTTCCCTCCATTTTCTTTTCTGCTGAACAGAGCTTGCCTCCAGTCTATCCCATTTAGGTTCCCTTCTGTACCTCTCTCTTGAGGATTAGCTATGCTTTGTGGCAAGGCAGGACAAGCTAGTGTGGCTGTAGCCGTTCGGACACAATGTTACTTTCCTTGGGAGGGAGCGTTTCTCAGATTCCCTGGGCTTCTAGGGCAGGCAACAGGCAGGCAGGCAGGCGTTGTGCCTCATGCGAGCCCACCACGGCTTTCTTCAAGCTTTTCTGTAGGGAGTGGGTGCAGGTCTCTAAAGAGACGGTCGGTGGTGAGCAGAGGCCACCCCTTGGGTGGAATAGATCATCCGGATATAAAAAAACAAAGCTGATTTCTCACCAGATAGATGCCACCATAGGTGCCCCCCGCCCCCAGAACCCTTGCAAAGTCTTTCAGAGCTTGCCCTGATTCCCCCTCTCCAGAGTGGCTGACACCCCTAGAACTTGGCCTAAGCTGTAGAACCTCTCTAGATGCCGCCAGATAGATCCTCACCAAGACCAGCGGAGGGGGAGGCAGGTAGAGCAAGTAGCTGTAAAGATGGAAAGCATCGCCCTGAGGCAGGGCACACGCTGAGAAGGCCACAGCACTGACCGCCTCTAACCTAAGGTGGGGGGTGGAGGGGGTGCTTTCACTGCTCCAGTGCGCTCCCAGCCCTCCGCAGTAAGAAGGGCCAGTGGCACCCAAATGCCCTGCTCCTTTGCCAGTTCCTGTATGTGGCCTGGGCCAGAGGAAACCATCTCGCTGGGTTCCTCCTGACACCGGCCCAACCGACACTAAGTCCTAAGCCTTGGGGGAATGAAGACAGACCTCGGGGCCCAGAGTCAGAGCAGTACAATGGGGTCTACATGGTGGAGACAAGGAGGTCAAGAACTGGTGGGCACCAAGCTAACCTCAGCTCCTGAATATGAACTGAGTCATGGGGGCCTGAAGCTGTGCCCAGTCCCCTGGACTTGGCTCCCCATGCCAGCTGAGGGTGGGGGGTGACTGGCATAGGGCTTTAGGAATGGGATGAGGCCTTGCACTGAGGTGAGAACCGGGTGAGACACGGGAGAATGCTGAAGGCTAATCCTGAGTCGAGGCTGCAGTTACCGAGTAGGCCAGGAATGGGCAGCTGCTAAGTTAGGAGTGTTTACTTGGGTAGAAGACTCTTAAGAGGGAGCTGAGGTGGGGCTGGGGGTGGGGGCACACCGACACTTCTCAGGCCATGGTGGGGCAGAACTCAACTTTGTTCTCCTCCAGCCAGGAGCCCTTCAGTCAGACCCTACTGAGTGCTTATTCTAGACACCTCGCTTCGGCCGCCTTCATAGCTGGCATTCCTTCTCCCAAGCGGACCTAGTCCCCGCTGTGCTCTTCCTGGATCCCAGTTTCAAAGTCCAGCAGCCTCAGAGCTGCCAGAGGACCTTCATATCATCCTGTCTCCCCACCTGCCCTCTCTACCCCAGAACCCACCTCCATTCCAATGTAAAAGGGAAAAAAACAGTTCCCTCCCCCTTGCCCCTTCTTTCATTTCATTTGTAAATTCAAAGTGGGCTTACTGGTTGCAGACCATGCGGCCTGCCCTGGGAGCTGTCTGTGTCACTGTCCCTTTCCTCGAACCTACAAGTACGCCAGGTGCATGTGAGGAATGTGAAATCAGATGGCAGGTCTGACTGGGCTGTGGCAAGAACAGGAAAACAATGGGGTTTCCAGAAGGCTTTATTAGGGGGCTATGGAAGCATAAGGTGGCATAGTGGTTATGAGTTGGGCTGCGATCTGTAGGGTCGGCAGTTCGAAACCACCACCAGCCCCTCCTTGGGAGAAAGATGGGGCTTTCTACTCCTGTAAACAGTTATAGTCACACACACAAAAAAACCAGTTACAATCTGGGAAACTCCTGGGACAGTTCTACCCTGTCCTATAGGGCCGCTGTGAGTCAGCATCAATGGCAGTGAGTTTGGTTTTTTGGTGAGAGTTGAATCAGAGGAAATACCCCTAAATCAGTGGTTCTCAACCTTCTAATGCCATGACCCTTTAATAACGTCCCTCATGTTGTGGTGACCCTCAACCATAAAATTATTTTGTTGCTACTTCATAACTGTCATTTTACTTCTGTGATGAATCGGGCAACCCCTGTGAAAGGATCATCCAACCACAAAGGGGTCGTGACCCACCGATTGAGAACCACTGCCCTAAATGTAAAGAGTGGTTGTCTGGATGAGATTCCCCATGCCCCTCCTTGGCATATTCTCTAAACTGTTACCTCTGAAAATTGGGAGTGGGGCAGGAAATGAACCTTTTTAAAAGGTGACAGCTCTCTGCCTGTGGAGGATTGGTCACGCCAACTTAGAAGCAGAACTTGGCCCTGTCAGTGACTTAGACAAGAGCTCCTAGCGCGGACTCAAGCAGTGGTAGTGGAGTTGGGCAAAGGGGAAATTGAGCCACTGTCCTGAGGAGAGAGGACAAACAATGACAGCGCCACTGTGAGCTGCTGTGACAGGAGCGATGAAGGGACAATGAACTGGAGAGATCAAGAAGAGGACAGGTCTGGAAGAGGAGGTGATGGGCCTTCCGGCCATTTATCGAGAGGTAACAGGTGCATGTGAGGCACCAGCCACCTGCCTCCTAACCGCTACACCGTTTCTTGCTCCTCAGGTACATTCATTGGTGGTACCGGAAGACTCAGGTGGAGAAGAAGATACCGTTCATTGACATGTTCAATTCTGTGCCCTTGAGACAGATCTATGGTGAGCCTCACCCCAGCTCTGCCCTGCTCAGGCGGGGTTGCCCTCCAGGTCAGCCAGAGTGGGGAACCCCCTTTATGGTCCAGAAAGTGAAGATCAGGTTCTGTTTTTGCTTCCCACCCCCACTAACCATTCTGATTTCTCTCTGCAGGTTGTCCCTTGGGTGGCATCGGGGGAGGTACTATTACCCGTGGCTGGAGAGGCCAGTTCTGTCGTTGGCAGCTCAACCCTGGAATGTACCAGCACCAGACAGTCATGGCTGACCAAGTAAGAGCCGGGAGAGGGAGGACCTGCTGAGTCGTGTAGGATGTGGTGGTCAGATGTGTCTGTGCTTCAATAAGAATTTTTATGATGCCTCCCACGGGCCAGCCCTGCATGAGGACTGACAGTAGGAATCAGACCCAGGGCACACGGTTCTGAAGGGAGGAAATAGCCTGGCCACCACACCCTCAGTTTTTCTAGTGACTACCTTCGCTGGCCCACCTCCACCAGCCATAGGGAGTACACAGACTTCCTGGACCACTTAACCTGGCTCATTCGGTAGGACCTTAAAGGGAAACAAACCCCAAGCGTTACAGGTGCATTCAGAGAAAGAATGGATGTATACTTAAGAGCACCTGCTGCCTCTCCAGATTTGCCAACATTCCACCAGAGACCAGCCCTCTGCCAGTGATTACTGGCTCTGAGGGTCTCTCTGGCTGAGAGCCTAGAAAGACCTCTGCCTTCTTCCCTCTTTGGACACTCCCCTTCTGTACCCACCACTCCCTCCTCAGCTCTGGGCCCATGTTTTGTCATATCTTTCTAGTGACCTCCTGTCTGAAGTTGCCCACCAAGTTCCTATTCCCTGTCTGGAAGGATCTCGCTAGCTTTCAGCTCATCTTCAAAGGAAAAATGCTTAGCCAGCCTCGAGTCCAATTAATGACAATGCCCTCCCAGTTGAGGCTTACCAGCCCTACCCAATGCTCCAAGCTTCCTCCCTGGCTCACCTCTTAGGCATCCCATAGGGAATACCCTCTGGAATTGACTCTCCAGTTAAAGTAATAAGGGTAGCTACCATTTATTGCCAGCCCAATGTGCGCTAAGCATTGCCCTGGGTGCTTTTAGCATACTATCTAATTTAAGATCAAAAATAG